GTCAATGCGAAAACCACGCAATGTCCAGCTTATTGGCTCGGCATATAAGCCTACGGGTTTCAAACCAAGGCGTGTTCCCAGAACATCAAATCAAGGCACTCTCCATCCATATCCACCCGAGACTTCCTAGTGTGCTCCTATCCGGATCACACACCACGACCCCAGGTCAACTGGAACTCCCTCTCGGAGACCTATCCAGTGGAAGTCCGTAACGCCCGAAGGCAAACCGTCTATTGGCCAGAGACACAGTACATCCTATGATGTACCAACACACATACAATATGCATGAATATTGTAATAACCCAAAAATCATGTACTCGAAATTAGCCTAATGGAATGAAATGAAAAGGGATCAAGCCCATATTCAGTGAACATAACTTTGAATAAGCAACATTAGTCCTAAGTTAGAACCCACTTTAAATAAGATAATTAATAACTTAGCCCAATGTGGTTTAAAGCCCAAATAAAGTTAAAGCCTTAACCATGCATGTGATTTCCTTTCTCCAAAAGCAACTCTCCTTTCCATACCCACCTTGGATGACACAAACATGATGAGAAAAGGAAGTTTGCTTCTTCCACACTCCAAGCCATGCATGACACATTCCAAAGACCAAGGTCTTCCCTTCTCCCTAAGCACACTCTACACGGCCACCAAGGAAGGATCACATGATCAAATCTTCTCCTCTCCTCACACATTCGGCCGAACCTTCTACAAGGATGACAAAGAAGACCTATCACACACTCCACACTCAAGCACCATCACCCACCAATGCATGTGAGTAGCTTCCTTCACACTCACAAGTAATATTCAAGCACCTCTAACCTAATACCCCAAGGAAATGATGACTAGCCTTGAATAAAAGAACAAGCAAAGAGCTTCCTCCTCCCCCTAAGGTCGTGAAGCACTAAGCATCGAGACAAAGAATCCTTCTCCCTCACACCTTGGCTTCGGCTCCTTTTCCCAAACAAACCAAGCAAGTAAAATACTCAAACACTTCATCCTTCTCTACTCCTAAGCCTCAGCCATAGCAAGTTCAAGGACCTAGGATCATCTCAAAATTATTCTAAGCTCTCCAAACCCTCTTGTCTTCACCCACATAGGTAAGGTAAAGGCTTCACCTCATTTAGTTTGGTGTAGACTAAGGATCCCTAAGTTTCCACTCTCTTTGTGTAGCGAGAGACCAAGAGGTTGTTGGAAGCAACTCTCAACTCAAGGCTCCTTGAAGATCAAGTGTGAAGCATTAGATAAAGTTGTATTATCATAATTAAGGTAAGACCTCATCTCTTCAAGCTAGTAGAATGAACCCTAACCACTCTACATGACTAGATCTTGGACTAATAAAGCCATGCATGCATCTATCATCCTAGAAATCATCTCCTATGTATACCATCTCTACATGGCCGAACTTAAATGATATGCATGCACTCTCCAAATCTTCAAAACATTGGCTAAACAACCTAAACCTAAAATGGCCGAATGTGATGTATAGGGAAGTATAGTCGAAAGTTTGATTTAAGGATCAACCATTTTATATGAGCATTTAAGCCATGAACATGTTATCAAAAATGTCCTATAGGTATACACCCCTAAATGGCCGAACCCTAACAAGCTTAGAAAAGAAATTTGTGAATGTTTTCTTAAGTATCATGATGTATGGCCGAAATGTATAGGACCTATGCATGAGAACAACTAGTGAAAATCATCTCCTAAGGCATTTCATCTAAAAGGGCCAAACCTATGTCAAGAGGAATATTAAGTTTAGATCTTTAATTTTAGAACTATGTACTAAGGATGGTTATGTTATTAGGCCGAACCAAAGGAACAAGAAAGGACCAGAACCACCTTGAACTCTTGGGAAGTGATAAGACAAGACTATTGAGTAAGTGATTTACGGTTGTTGTAGTGGTTTCCCTATGGTTGCCACCCCTTTATGTTAAAGTGTGGTCTGACTGCAATTTGTTGTATGATGTTGTACATGATATGTTTGGCTGTTTGGAACTAATGTTTTGTTCATGCAAGTTGTATTATGATGGCCTGTGCACTAATACCACAGAGGCAACCTGACGAGGACCCTGGGTATTCGTCCGTAAGACCATGGAGAGTAATTGTCATGGCAGGATTGGTATGATGAAATGAAAGCATGATTATTTTCCAAACTATGTTTCAAATATTCTCCATCATATTATTGTATATGTTATTATATGACAGTTGCAGGAGTAAGCATCATGGTTTGGAGGTTGCTCCAACTGTGAGTCCTTACTGAGACCCCCAATCTCACCCCTCTTTGGGGAATCCCTTTCAGGTAAAAGTCAAGAATGAAGATGCGGGTAAGGGATGGCAAGCGACTAGTACGCCTGGAAGTAAAGAAAGATGCATTACGTTTATTGTCGGATGACTGTACTAAATTAGTTCGTAACAAGTTATATGTGCACGCTATGTATTTCGTTTTGGATGAGATGTTAGGATATTATGAGCTTTTGGATGGATCTCTAGACATTGAGTAGTAGTACTTACTTTTGGATGAATGTACCTAACTATCATACTTTGAGGTTATCATGATTAAGCTTTAGACGTCTTATAATTTTAGCTAATATGATTGGAATTAGTGTGAGAAACCTTACCCTTATACAGACGTAACAATAATTGAAAGAGAAACCTATGCAAGGAACGTTTTTATAAGAAATCTTAAAGGTTTCAAATTATATGACTTAGATTAAGACCAAGCCTTTATGGTAGGATAAGTCACCATCCGCATAAGACACTTAAGCAGCCATCTAATTAGTAGTAGTCAAAGACGAAATTTATTCCGCTGTGATTAAGCTCCCGAAGTAACATATAAGTACAAGCAATGTTAACACAACAGCTAATAAAAATAGGGTGTTACAAACATGTTATCCTATATTATTTACATACACTTCCTACCACTACCCTCAACGGGCATAGTGGAACACACAAGGGGATCAAACCCCAGTACCAAGAGGTTACCTGTATAATCCTCTCCTGCAGCTCCAATGCAATATATTTTCCGAGCTAGTTACACAACAGAAATGCCTACACAGAGGACATTCCCAATCAACTTTCATTCACCAATTACATGTCAATTCTCAAGCATAAATGCATGATTTAAAATACTCACCACAACCCCTTTTGGTCCGGGACCAAGGGCAACCAACCGAGCTCACGGTTCGGGGTTCAAATCCACGAAAGGCAACCTACATTGATCATATATGGACCATTAAAACACGACAAACCCACCAAAGTACAAAAACATCAAAATCTCTTCCCCCCACTAGTGAGGTTCGGCCTTTATAGTGTAAAAACACAATATTTTCTTTCATTTTCTTTTTCTTTTTCTTAAGCATTCTAAGGTTACCCCAATGTCATTTTAGGTGCCAATTTGCATCCTATATCATCACAACCTCATTTTGTCATTAATTTCACGCTAGGTTCAATTTCCAATTTCATACAATCCAACCATTTTTCTCTTGGTTTCCAAAGCATTAATTTATCACACAACCCTTCTAATTATCAATTAACATCACAACATACCAATCATACAATTCCACAACCTCAAGTCCCCATTTTCCTACATATGGCCGAATTGCACCTTGTCACCCCTCGAGGGTTTTTCAATTCAATTCAATTATTCCACACCTCATACAATTCTATTATTAAATCATACAACCATACAACAACTCAATTACACGATCCTAAAACAATTCAAAATCACAAAGTGTTGGATTCCTCATCAAAATTTCCTGAGTTATGAGCACATTTCCTCAATAATTTTTATTGCATTTATCACTCCAACACATCATTCTAAGACATATTTATCTAATACACAATCTCAATTTGAGCTCTCTAACTCCATAAATCAAGCATACAAGCTCTAGGTTTTCATGAAATTAAATTCACCAAATCAACCATGAAAGGTGTTGAAACTTACCTACAATTAAGTCACAAGACTCCTCCAATTGATCTCCAAGCAATGGCTTGAGCAAACAACCCCAAATTCTCCAAAAAAAACTCCTCAAACTCATGGCTGATTTTTCCTTCTTTCTCACAAATGAGAGGGTTTCAAGGCTAATGGATGGTATAGTTGATTCCAGATCGTCGTTTACTTGAAGATTGGTGACAAACTTTTTGGATTTTGGTGGTTGGATGTTGGAGTTTCAAGTTGGCAACTTCCCCCCCCCCCCCTTTTTCTTCATGGTGTTTCACAGTTTTGAGAGAGAGAAAGAGTGATGAGAGTGATGATGAATAGTAATGAACATGTCTGTTTAAGTGACTTAAGTGAGGTGGGCCCTACCGCCAACTCACGCGATTTCAAACTAATTCGAATTTCTCTCCAATTTCACTAAACGTCCATAATTTCATAACCTATTTAGAAACTCTAATTTTTAACATTAACCATTGTCCTTTAATTACCCTTGATCAGATGAATCCGAAGTTTTCCGGTCGTTTAGAGAAATCGCAATTTTAAGCTGTTACGCACGCCGTAGGCACGCTTCCCCAAACTCGCTAATTTCCGTCAATTTTCATCAGAAATCATATTTCCTAGTCCTATTCACCATTTATAACCTATATCCAAACATAGAGTTCAAAACTCAATCAGCACGCTTTACGGTGCAACTGTAACGTGATATTTTTACTCGGTAAAAACACTATTCACAGAATTTTCTGAAACTTGCATAACCACTCAATTTTTCGTTCTGAATCCATTTCCAGGGTTAGTTTTCCCATTTGAGACCTTCTACTCAATTTTACCTTCTTAGGATTGCGTGTTTGGCTAATTACCGTTTTACCCTTCCTTTGTATTTTGACCTAATTTTTAAGATTTTCACTAATCCTTCTCTTTAATCCATGTTTAATATATTAATATATAATTTAGAAATGCGAGGTGTTATATGAAACTTAAACCATTTCAATTACATTATCTCATTTGCATGCATTCTTCCAAATACAAATAATCATAATTTAAAATAGGTTTATTGCCCTCTCATCATATATCATGCTTCAATAATACACAAGGTTCAATATTTACAAATTACATTTCTTCAATGAAAAGCATTAATACAATAAGTCCTCCTAGATACAACATAATAACCTCAAATACAACATGATAAATATACAACTAGACTTAGGCAAAATATGACATGAACAAATATGACAATATGCATAATCCTAAATCCATATACAATATTCATGCCCTAAGTCTAGCTTATGCCAAATGGTCTCAAAATGCAAAACAAGCTTTATATCCAAGTGCTCATCCCGTAAGCTTCTTGCCCACAGCTCCAGCCCCACTGCTACTACCTGAAATAAATGCCCCAACACGGGGTGAGATATACAAATATATCTCAGTAACCCAGAGGTTCTGGAGATTACTCCTCCCAATGGCTCACTCAGATGTAAATCAACAATATATTACAACAACCAAGGAGGGATAAAGAAAGGAATTTAGTGAAGTAGGGATGCATATGGAGTAAAAATACGATGAAGCTGGAATGGTCAATGCCAAAGCCACGCAACATCCGGCCTATTGGCCTCAGCATATAGCCTACGGGTTCTCATCCAAGGAAGTGTTCCCATAACAACAACCAAGGCACCCTCCATCCATATACACCTGAGACATTCCTAGAGTGCTCCTTAACGGATGACACTCCATGACCCCAGGTCTACTGGAACTCCCTCACGGAGACCTATTTAGTAGATGTTCGTAACGCCCGAAGGCAACAGTTTACTAGCCAAAAATACGGTACATCCTATGTACCCAATATACATACATATATGAATGAGCATGTTATAACACATTATCAACATACACCTCCAATCACTACCCCCAAGGGCATGGTTGAGCACAAACGGGAATTAACCCCAGTACCAAAGGTTTACCTTATGGAAGCTCCCTCTCTAGGTAGCTCCAATCAGAATACACCCGAGCTTGGTCCAACCAGAAATGCCTACACACAGGTCATTCTTATACCAATGAGACCCACATAACCACATCAACTTGGTTACACAAGAATATATGAAATTTCCATAAGTACTTACCACAATCCTTTTGGTCAAGGACCAAAGGCAACCCACCAAGCTCACCGTTCCAAGTTCACTTCCGTGAGAGGCAACCTACAATGATCATCAACACAATGGTGCAACCAATCAAAATACAAAGCACCATATACCCACCCACACACCATGATGGCCAAATGGCCCAAAAATACCCATGTTCTTAATTTTATTTCAAGATTCCACTAGCTTCCTACGCTTACCCCAACACCAATTCAATTCCTTAATTCCATTCCATTAACATTTAACATCATTTTCCTAATTATCTTCCTTCAGGCCAATTTCTACACTTAGACATATCCAATGGTTCCACTTCCAATCCACACGCATCAAACCAACATACAACCTTTTTAAACACAATCCACAACCACACAACACCAATCACATGATTTTTACATAATCTTTTCCTTACTTTCCTACATGGTTGAATTCTTCATGCAAGTATACCTAGGAGTATTCAATCCAATTTCACACTTCTACACATCATACAATCCACTAATTAAATCATACAATTACACCACAACTCAATTACACAATTCTACAATCATTCCATTTCACAAAGTCTTCAATTTCCACTCATGAAATTGCCTAAGTTATCAACTTTTTCATCAATAAATTTTATGAGTTCACTCACTATAAAACATCATTCTAAGACACTTTTATCTAATGCACATTTTCAATTTGACGTCTCTAACCATATTAATCCATGCACACTAACCCTAGGTTCATAAATTTCAATCCACCAAATCAACCAATTAAAAGGGTAGAAACTTACCCACAATCAAGGCCTAGGACTCCTCCACACAATACCCAAGCAATGGAGGATCAATCAACTCCAAGAACATTAAAATCCTCACCAAGGCCGCGGACATGGGTCATGATTTTCTCCCAAATTAGTGAGTTTCAAGCCTTGAAAATACTATAGTTGTATTTAGAAGATTGTTTACTTAAAGTTTGATGTAGTGGAAGTTGTGTTTTGGTGGAGTATTGATCGTGTTTAGAGGAGATGAAGTTTTGTACAAAAACTTGCACAATGACAAGGGGGTCGCGGGTTTGTGGAGAGAATGAGAGGAAGGAGATGGTGAATAGTACCTTGTGCACATGTGGCTCTGTCCACTTATGAAATAATAATTGCTAATTATCTTTAAGTTTCGAGTATCTTTGCCTACTGCATTTTTACCGCAAAACTCTCAATATTTATCCTTTTCTCAAAAGGTGCTTTAACTTAAAATAATTAAAATAATTAAATCTTCCATTTAATAATCCTTATTTAATTATTATTTAATTTCTAAAATTATAATTTAACGGTGCAGGTTCTTACAGTACTGATGGTCGTAATGTAACTGTTTAAGTTCTAATGTATTGATTGTTATATCATGATTAAAATGTGTTGTGGCTTGATATGCTGTGAATCATTTGTTTGATTCAAATACATGTACATCTGGTTGTGTTATGTGTAAACAAGCTGTTGTCGTCCGATCTAGTGCAGAGGCCGAGTATCGTGCAATAGGAGTTGCTACCTGCGAGCTAATATGGTTAAAGCAGTCAATTCAGGAGCTCCATCTTTATAGACAGAAACAGCCCATGACATTCATTTGTAACAATCAAGTTACGCTACATATATCCTCTAATCCTGTTTTTCATGAGAGAACCACCAAACATATAGAGATCGATTGTCACTTCATCCGAGAAAAGATTCAATCAGAAGAAATCAAAATGGCATTTGTCAACTCCAATGATCAACTTGCGGATGTCTTCACTAAAGCTCTTAGAGATCCTCGGGTTGAATACATTTGTAACAAGTTGGGTGCTTACAATATATACGCATCAACTTGAGGGGGAGTGTTAGAATAGTTGTTCTAGGTTATTTAGTCTCTTTAAATAGAGAGCTACTGTACAATTGTAATACTCAATTATTCAATCTAAGTATTATTCAATCTCAACTGGTCCTAATTGACTTGTTTGGCTTGAATTGTATCCTTGATCTCATAATCATGTTAATCACATGATTAACTTGTCACAAATTCCATCAAATACTTCCTTAACTCTTGTATATGAAACCAAAAGTAAGCAGCACAACCTATTCTTTTAAATGAATACTATTAGGACAACCATAGTTCCTAGAGTTATCAGTATTCTGAATTTATATTACCTACAGTATAATAAGCTAATGTGTTAAGTGATTAGCAGACTTCTCTAACCAAAAATATGGAACGGTGTGAATCTGATAGAATATATTTGTAGCAATCACCTGCATGCCTTCAAACATTATAATGGTTGTCTGGTGTTGTAAGTGAGCTCCTTACTTTCTTCCAAATATTTGAAGAAGGTAGATAGTGCAAATGTATCATTGTGAGTGTCTCTCTCAATCAACCAGTCCTCATGAATTTGGACATTTACATCCCTGTCAGAAATTGTGGTCCATGGTTATTAAAAGAACATAGGATGATTGAAGATAAGAGGAAACGCAGAATGCCAGCATGGATTTTCATTTATAGGCATGAACAGTGCTCCAGGAGTAAATGAACACAGCGCGAATGGAGATAAAACAACAAAAGCAAAGATGTGAAGGACAACTTAGAAAAGAAACATCAATACTTTTTCAAGGCAAGAACTTCATAGTTTCTCCGTAGGTAATCAGCATACTTTTTAAGGGCATCCTGTGCATATGGTCTGCCCACAGTCCTTACTGCAGCCGCATTCAATAAAGTCTCCAATGAACCATGCTTTTTAATAAGTTTTAGAGCAGTCTTCCGACCAAAACTAGGGACAAGATGTTGGATACCAGGAACGCCATCAACTTCATCCCCTACAATGCATCCTGCACATTCACAGCATGAACAAACAGAAATCTTAGTCATAATGGCATTAACATTTAGCAAGTAAATAATAACGCAATCATTTTTTGAGAGCTGTCAGAAAGAAATCAGTTAGGGGGACCTTATGTATATAGAAATTAGAAGAGAGCCCAGGTCTCAAATAACTGGAACAATGAAGTTAGTACATCTGCACTATGTTTGTATCTTCATTTTCTCAAAGCTGGAGATACAACTCCAGTTGGGTGTATATCAAAAGAACCAAAGTCAGATATAGAGGCAAGTGGAAAGGTAAAGTAAAAAGGTGGAAAAAAGACTGCAACACGAAGACTAAAAGAAAACTAACTGACGTCAGCAAATAAATACAACTAATATCGTTTGGTTTACAACAAACTAAACATATTAACCTAAAACTAAAACTAAAAACTGATTGTGTACCCCCCCCCCCCCCCCCCCTCTTTTTTTTCTCCCTCTTCCTCCAAAGATGGAGAGTAGATGTCTTTCTTCCCATCTTGGACAAGAGTGGAAACAAGGAAGAAGATGGTAATGGTTTTGCGTAAAGAACAATTTCAAGCTTAAGTTGTTAGGTGAAACTACATTAATAATTTTATGCTTCTCTAACACTCCCCCTCACACGAGACTCACAGGGCTTGAAGGGTGGATAATGCACATTTCAAGCAATGGGATCTCGAGATAAGACCCTCTCCAGTAAATCCTCACCTTGAGAACAAGGCGAGAGTTTTTGCGGGGGAAGGGGAGAGTCTTGATACAATATGTCCACCCTACAAAAAGAAATTCAATTCAAGCTGAGTTAGCAACCAGGCAGTTAGAAGGGAATATTCTCAATAATGACAAGGGCAAATTCAGTTAAAGGAGAGAGAGAAAGGATTGCTCACATAAAAATTAGTTGAGAAGGCTATGTATACGTGAGGGAAGGAAAAAGAGGGGGCATCAGGAAATTGGTACACACTTGTGCTGGGAAACCAGATTTGGGAGACTCTAGAGCCTCTCAAATTGCTCCAGAAGCCTATCTTTACTTTCTTGCATTTTTACCTTTTCAGTATTTTTCTCTGTTCTACACCATAACTTGTACTGTTGTTGATGAATTACCAACCATAGTTAATACACAGTCTCATTTTTCCATCCAATTCTTATTACTGTATTTCGGTTCCTATCAGTTTGCAAGCCAAGAATCTTGTATCTTCCATTAGTTGCAAGGTATAATGTCTTTGAAGAGCACGATACCTTGTCCTCAAGGTATGTCTTTGAAGTTGGTGTGGAGGAATTGCTTGACAGAGGCAATAGGGGTAGAGAAAGGTCTAATAATAATTATATCATCAACTTTGAGTCGCAATGCAAAAAATGAAGGGCCACATCCCTCTATGGAGAGAGAATAGTAAGACTTAGATTGCGTAAAACCAAATTGAAATAGAAAACTAGAAAATTTAGAATTCCATTACCAAGATGCCTGTTTTAGGCAATAGATACATTTGTGAAATCTGCAAGCATGCTTGATATTTGGGTTATGTTAGAATAGAAAATATTACATATGATTAGATTTGAATAGATTACTTCTTATCTGTAAATATTCTTTTTGTATTAGATCTGGGCTTCTCACTTAAGCCCATTACAATCTCTATATATTGTAACTCTTTGTATTAGCTTAATACACAACACGTTATTTTATATTCAAGTTGGTACCAGAGCTCTTTTGTTTTGGGGACCCTTGCTTCCGCTTAAAACCTTGTTTTCGCTTTAAAACCTAAGCCCACTGCTTAGGAGTCCCCTTTTCTTTGTCGTGCGTCCTTCCGGCAAGCCATCTAGGGTTGTCAGCCCCTTCTGAGTGATTTCCGAACGCGTCAGCACCTCCGACCGCCACTGGAACCACCGTCCGTCACTGTTCCGGCCGCCGGAGAAGTTTTCTGGCGAGTTTACAGCCCAGACAACCTGCGATCAGGACCCTCTCTCCCGGCGACCAGTTCTGTGGAGGTCCGACCACCGTCACGTCAGTCATGCGCCTTCACGCGCCGCCCGTCTCCTTTGCAGGTGGTGCTCACGCGCCACCTTCAACCGGCGCGTGTACGCTGTTCCGGTAGCTTTTTCCGGTCGTTCTTGGACAGAGAAGCTCGCTTCCTCCTCCTCTTTCCAAATCTGTGGTTGGTTCTTTGTGGGTCTCACTTTCTGTGCGTACCTCTTCTTGCTTTGCGATCAGGTTAGTTTTTATTCGCTTGGTTGTTTATCCTTGTGATTTATTATAATGGCCTGCTCTCTCGGAGACCTGTTCTCCCTCTCGTCCTGCCAAAAGTTCCCCTAATGTCATCTCCACCAATGTTCGGCCCATTACCTCTTCAAAGCTGAAGGGTTCTGTTAATTACAAGAATTGGGCCACCTCTGTTCGAGTTTGGTTCTTTGGACTGGGACATGAGAACCATCTCACAACTAAATCTACTGATATTCCTAAGGAATAAAATTCTGATTGGGAAAGGATGGACAACCAGCTTCTGAGTATCCTTTGCCAGTCTATTGATCCAATCGTCTTGGATATTTTCTATTCTTTTCAAACCTGCAATGACGTGTGGGAGGAAGCAAAACACCTCTACACTAATGATGTTCAGTAGCTTTATTCCATCATGTCTCAATTTATGGATCTGCGCAAATCATCTGACACTCAGATGGAGACATATGTTGGCAAAAGTCGATCTCTGATGCAGGCATATTTGGATATGTTGCCTACCCTACTGACGCTTCTGCATATCGGAAACAGGTGGAACTTCTCTTTATGGTTGCCACACTTTCTGGTCTCCTCGAAGAATATGATAATGTACGGGATACTATCTTGACATTGGGATCCATGGGTGTATTAATTGGTTTACACCCCAACATACCAATCTCTTCTAGGATATCCAAGGCATATTTCCTTTGACAGATAGAAATGCCCTGTCTAGATTATGCCACCTCAATTCCCAAGAAGTAACGCAGCTTCCCAAGGTCCTTTGTTTGAAATTGACTGAATAAATGCTGTTTTAACTGATGAATTCCAGCTTGATCAGTTCCGGTGAGAATGATGTCATCAACATAGACTAACAAATAGATGCACTTATCAGGAGATGTGATCCTATAAAATACAGAATGGTCAACTTTACTGCGGATTAAGCCAAACGCCTGAACAGCAGAACTGAATCGACTGAACCATGCTCGAGGAGACTGCTTGAGACCATACAAGGATTTGCGAAGACGGCACACCTTCCCACCTAAGCAACAAAACCAGGTGGTTGCTCCATGTAAACTTCTTGTTGTAAATCACCATGAAGAAAGGCATTTTTGATGTCAAGATGAAGGAGTGGCCAGTGACGAACAGCAGCAAGAGCAAGAAACAAGCGAACCGATGCCAGCTTAGCGACCGGAGAGAATGTGTCGCTATAATCAAGGCCGAAGATTTGAGTAAAACCCTTTGCAACTAAGCGTGCCTTGAGACGATCAACATGGCCATCAGGTCCAACTTTCACAGTAAAAACCCAGCGACAACCAACTATAGACTTTTCTAGAGGAGCAGAAACAAGGTCCCAAGTGCCATTGGAATGAAGTGCAGTCATCTCATCAAGCATCGCTTGGCGCCACCCTGGATGGGAAAGTGCTTCACCTGTGGTCTTAGGAATAGAAACAGAAGAAAGACTAGAAACAAAGGTGAAATGAGGAGGAAAAAGATGGTCATAGCTCAAAAAGGTATAAAGAGGATAAGGGTTACAAGTAGTACGTGTACTTTTTCTTTGAGCAATGGGAAGAGCCTCTGGTGAAGGAGCCGGAGGGGAAGAATCAACAGCAGGAGGCGATGAGTCAGCAAGAGTCGAATCGACAGGAGGCACAGTTTTACGACGCTGATAGGTGAGAAATGTACGGTCCTCAGGTATGGAAGCAATAGGTTGCTCATCTGGAATAGAAGTACCTGCAGCTGGCAAAGACAAGTCAAGAAAAGGAACAGGAAGAACATGATCAACCTGTGACAATTGAGATGGGATAGAATTAAAGGGTTGTTGATCAAGAAAAGTGACATCAGCGGAAACAAAGTAACGCTTAAGATCAGGAGAATAACAACGATAACCCTTTTGAAGACGAGAATAACCAAGAAAAATACACTTAAAGGCTTTGGATGTTAACTTGTCCTTACCAGGAGTGAGATAATGAACAAAACAGGTACAACCAAAGACATGTGGGGATAAGGGATAGAGAGGAACATTTGGAAGTAACAAATTATAAGGAATGTCATTATTAAGCACAGATGAAGGCATACAGTTGATGAGAAAACAAGAGGCAAGGACTGCATCGGCCCAGAAGTGAAGAGGAACATGCATGTGAATAAGAAAAGTATGTGCAGTCTCAATGTGATGCCTATTTTTACGTTCAGCGACTCCATTTTGTTGTTGAGTGTAAGGACAAGTAGTTTGGTGTAAAGTACCCTGTGTGGCTAAGAAATTAGAAAAGTCAACAAAAACATATTCCTTAGCATTATCAATACGTAAAATACGAATAGAAGCACCAAATAGAGTTTGAATTTCTTTGAAAAAAACAAAAAATAATTCAGAACGGTTTTTCATTAAATAAATCCAAGTACAACGTGAAAAATCATCAATAAAGGTAACAAAATATCGAAACCCTAAAACAAACACTACGACTTGGACCCCAAATATCTAAATGAATAATTGAAAAAGAAGCATCAGCTCGTTTATTGACTCGATTGGCAAAGGAGGAGCGTATGTGCTTCCCTTGCTGACATGACTGACAATCTAAAGTCTAAAGACCAGATAAAAGAGGAACCATCTTCTGCAATTTTGAAAGACTAGGATGACCGAGACGACTGTGGATGAGTTGTGGAGATTCTGTGAGAGAACAAGCAACTGAAAGTCTCGGCACAACCAGGTAGAACAGACCCCGTGACTCACGGCCCACTCCAATTGTCTTCCCCGTACCTGGATCCTGCACAGAAACATAATGGTTTGAGAAGGTAACA